GCCGCGTGCCGCATTCGCCCTTCATGCGTGCGCGCAGCCAGCCACTGACCCCTGGTGCCGCGCAAGTGTTTCGCGCGCGCGCCTCGCGCACGGCGCGTCGCCTTTCCTCGTGGCCTAGCGTCTCCCCGCGCACTCCCGCCTGTACTAAGCTATCCGCCAAGCTCGCGCCCGACCCGCGCCCGCGCCCCTGGCCTGCGACGACGCCCGTTGCCGCCAGCTCCGAGAGCCGAATCTTGTCCGTCTCGGCCTCGAGAACGACAGAACGCATCAAGAACTCCATGAATTCCGCTGTTTGCTCCTCCACCGCGCGGTGGCGGTCCGCTCCGCCCCCCCAGACGCCCGGCGAAGATCGCCCCGCGCGCGATCCCGCTCCAGCCGCGCGTGCGCTAACGCTTCGCTGAGAACTCGCGTCATAGGCTCAGTCGCGCGCCGCGCTTTCCAAAGGTGCGCGAGGATCCCCGGCGGTGCAAACTCAACCCTGGCCACGCCCACAGCCTTCGGCGCTCCCCCTTGGCCCCCCAGCGCGCTAAGCGCGCGGCAGTCGGCTTCCCGCAGCGCGCGCTCGCCGCGCTGATGCCAAGAGGTCTCCCGGGAGCGTGCGCAGACCCGGGGATGCCCCGCTCCAGGCGGCGACGCCCTCCATGGCGTGCCCGCTCGGATCTCTCCGCCCGGCGCCGCCTGGCCCGACGGAACCACTCCCCGCCGCGCAGCTCCTTTCCGCGTGTCCCTCCGCCCCCAGTTTCCTGCTCCTTCCCGATGCGAGAATGTTGCTGTTGCCGGCGGCGCGCTGGTCGCGCAGCGCCCGCAGGAGCTCCGCGTCGGTCCAGGAAGACTAACTTTGGAGGTGCGCCCCTCTGAAATGTGTGGGTTCGATCCACCAGAGCGCAATCCAATGAGGGAGCTGCTCCCGTTGAATGCGCACGTTGTTCAAACAGCTCTGGGGGCCGGGCAGCAGACGATTTCTGGACAGGGGGCGCCCGCGTCGAGCTGGTCGCCCAAGCCGCGCGCGTCCGTGTGCGCCCCTCAGTGGGCGTTCCCTGGGCGGCTCATCCGTTGCGCGAATTTGTAGCGAAACTGTTGCAGCTCTTCGGCCAAGAATCTGGGCGATGATGTCTTGGGTGGCAACGCCGCCAGGCCCCGCGTCAGCGTGAGCCAGCCAAGCCACAGCGCCCCCGTCGGTTTCGTTCTGCCATGCGTGGCCTTTCGGGGGCGCTCCCGGAAGCTGCCAACGAGGGCAAGGAACACTCGGCCAACGCTTGGAAGGGGTCCTACTCGTCGAGATGGGCGCCGTGGTCTTCTTGCATGCGCGCGGATGAAAAAGAAAATTCAACACATCCAAGTCGTGCCACTCGTGGAACGCCTGGGCGGTCTTGCACCGCAGTGCCATCATGAGTGCGTGCCTTTGCAGAGGCACTTGAAAGGATTTTGCGCAGGACGCGACGCGCGGGTTCGCCGCCCTGGAACACCATGCGGGCGAGGGTGCGGGCGAGGCTCAGGAAAGAGGCAATCGCCGCGTCCTCCGAGCTCCACGCTGTCGAGATTCCAAGGCGTCGCCAGACTGACGTTCGTCCACTTGGACACGCACAGCTGTAACTGCGTAGAAACAGGGCTGGCGGATCCTCGTGCCCGCTCCAGCAGGGGCGCTGCAGCGTCAGGGGACGGCGCGAACACTTGCGCGCAAGTCGCTGAAGCTGGGGCGCAACCAGTTTTCCCACAGGCCGAACAAGGCGCAAGTGACGGCGCTGTACTCGGCGGCGCAGAACAAGTCGTTTCGCAATGGCCCGAGCGCCGCGTAGCGTTCGTGCCCGAACTCGTTGCAGCGCGGTCTCCTTGAGCACGGGGCCGTGTCGCGACGACGCGTGCTGGGCGTACTTTGGATGCTCGGAAAGCTGCCTGGGAATCTGCCGCTCGGGGCGCCCCGAACATGTCCGCGGCGTCGTGCTCGGGTTGTTGTTGCAAGAAGGCGTCCAAGGCTCTTCGCCTCGAAACGTCGCCAACCCCTTCTCCTCCTCCTGCTACCTCTCCTCCTCCTCCTCCGCCTCCTCCTCCTCCTCCTTCCCCTCCTCAGCGGCGGCGGCACGGCCCTTCCGCAGGCCGCCGCCGCCTTTTGCCGCCGCCGCTGCGGGCCCTGGGGGCGTATTCCCTCCACCAGCTGCGCTTCACCGAGGGCTTCCAAAGAACCTGCGGCCCATGTTGCAGCCGGGAGGCTACGAGCGTAAGCCTTACGCCAGACAGCGCGCGAGCGGGGCGACACATGAGGCAGTTAGCGCCGAAAAGGGACACTGCGTATCTACATCGAGTTCCACTTATCCATTGCTGACCCCCACGAAACCGCTGCTGGGACAGGACTCCTGGGAACCAGCCACGGACAGGCAATTGTTTTCTTCGAGGCCAAGAGACTGTTCAACTTTGGGCTCTGGCAAGCCTGCGAGCACGGAAGAGGGAAAACAGAGCCAACCGAGCCCCGAACGGAATCTCCCAGGGTCGAAGCTCACTTGCGCACTGCTTCGAATCAGTTCCGAGGAGAAGGTGGCAGATGAGGGGGGGCAACATGCAATGCAAGCATGCTCAGCCAGCCAGAGGAGGGAGGCGGCCGGGCAGAGCACACGGTCGACCTCCCCTGCCCCTCGTCCTTCCCAGGCGTCGCAAAGGAAAAGCACCACCTTTCTTATATTTCTACATACATGTACTAGAACCATCGCGCGCGCTTCGCTCGCGCTCAAGTTCTAGCTAGGCTTGATGGGCTAAATCATGGAATATCATTATTGTCGCTTCTTGCATCCAGGGACTCTCTTGGAGGCCCTGCGCAAACCTCGGAACCGTATAGGAAGGGAACTGCGGAAACGCGGAAATCTTTAAGTTCCGTTAGGCATTCAACGCTTTGGGGCCCTCAAAGGCTTCCTGGTTTCTTTTCTGGGAGCTGAGGGGGGCCTTAATTGTGGTCTGTTGTGTAAGTGTAGACTGGTGGCGAGCTTGAAAAGAAGGGATTGTGGAATGTCCATGTTTTTCAAATTGCCGTGCCGGGGCTGTGGGTTAAAAGTTTCCTGAATACAGGCTACGGTCCGTTGGGATGTCTCTCGGGAGTTTCGTGCAAAAATAAGCAGGTGGTGATTTTGAAATGAAATGAATTCAAATTTTCAACTCATGAGATCATGGGATTCCGATTTTTACGGTGATTTCAGGGACAGTTAAACCGACGCGACGACGATCCAAGAGAGTGCCAAGACAGCGTCAGAGAGTTCAACAATATTCCCGAAACATCTTTGGATGTGACTCCGAAGTCTTGATGAGGCTCGAGGAAGAGGATAGGGAGTAGGAGTCCCAGCTTGAAAAAAAAGGGGATCTCTGGAATTCCCTTTTTTTGGGTTCAAGTTCCTGGGTCTTGGAGCGTTGAAAGCGGGAAAACGTGAGAAGGCGAAAAACGTCGACAAAAACCATTGGAAAGCAACGATTTTACCCTCTGCGGGCTCTCTGGGGACGGCTCTCGAAACTCTCTTGGGCTGGTTTGGGGCCTCGTCGGGGATTTTTTGGGGGCCTCTCAAGGGTCTGGGGTGTGTTGGAGGCCTCTGGGCGGTCCCGGAGTCTTCTCGGAGGTCTCTGGCGGCCTCCTGCTCCCGCTCTTGGGCTCATCTTGGGCCTGTTCCGGGGTGGTCTGGAGCTGTCTGGGGCGCCTCTTCGGCAATCTTGGGGCCGTTTTGGCCCGTCTTGGGGGCCTCTTGGGCGGTCTTGGGGGCCTCTTCGGCAGTCCTGGAGCGTTGGAAGAATGAAATGGTGAAAAAAGCAAGATCCCCAAAAATAAACCATGACATTTAACGATTTTAGGTTCTCCGGGCGCTCTCGGGAGGCCTCTCGGAGCTTTCTTGAGATCTCTTGGAGGCCTCTTGGGAGCCTGGAGGGCCGCCCGAAAGCTATCCTGGGTTGCTTGGGAGCGTCTTGGGCTTTTCTTTTACGTTCTGTGGGCTTCTTAGGGTCGTCTTGGGCTGTCTTTGGGCTGTCTTGGGCTGTCCTTGGGAGGCCGGGAAGCGCGGTACCAGGAGCATAATCGAGATGTGAGCGAGGCGGAGGACGCCCCGGGAGGGGGCCCAGCGCATGTTTTTAATATATATATATATATATATATGTAGTGTGTGTGTGTGTGTGTGTGTGTGTGTGTGTGTGTGTGCGTGTGTGTGTGTGTGTGTGTGTGTGTTTGTGTGTGTTCAGGCTTTTCAGGGTATTTCTCACTCTGTGGGGCACTCTCGGGCCCAACGGCCATCATGACTCTGGCGCGGACACCCAATCAGTGATTTAGCGCAGCCGGTGTGGATCAATGCAATGTAGAGAAAGGCAAAGCAGTTCAAGCCATGTGGGACAATGCGAAGCAATCCGGTGCAAGCCAATGCAAAACAAAGCAGCGCAACAATGCAACGTCTATCGATCCAAGACAGGGAAGCCGAAATCAATGCAAATCAACAACGTGGCGAAATCTATTGGCGCAGCCTATGGCAAACCACAACTTCCAGGGCGACCGTGCCCAACGTATGGCCGCCACCTATGGCCCTGACCCATGGCACCTAGAACTTCCCGGGGACATGTGCCCCACGTACGGTCGCAACCCACGGGGTGCAGCCACCCGCGCCCAGAACTTCATGGGGGGGCACGCATCCCCGTACCTTGCTGCGTGTCGCGGCGGCGGCCCTGGCGACACGCCATGCCTGCCTTACATGCGGGACGGAAGGCCGGGAAAGGCTCGGGGCGCTGGCGCCTGGGGACCAGGAAGTGGCCAGCGTGTCGCGCCCAGGCGTGACGGGCCAGAGCCCGGCGGCGCGACACGCCAAGCCAAAGTTCTCGACCGCACGGTCGAACTCAGGACACGACAGCATCCTGCAAGAAAACCTGAGACCCTCTCCGCCGGCGAAGCCGAAACGCATTCCAGGGCCACCCTCCCCCAGGATACACACGAGAACCTCCCACCACGAGCACGAAGAACACGACGGAACCCTCCCCGCACCGACCTCGATCTTATACCTCGGTCCGACCGTACCCGGTCCCTCGTGAAGGCAGGCAAGCTCCCGCAAGCGCAAGCGCTGCTTCGTGGGACGCGGCGGGCCAGCGGCGGAACATCTCTCTACAAGAGAAGCGGTCGAAGGCTCCGAGGCCCATGCCGTGAACAGCTCGCGCCGCCGGAGGCCTGGGCCCTCTCCTCCTCCCCGCCCTCCCCCGCTTCTCCTCCTTCTCCTTCTCCTCCTCCGTCTTCTCTTCATCCTCCTGTGACTCCACGATTTCGCCTCCTCCGTCCTCTCCTTCTCCTCCTATGACCCCGCGACTCCGCCTCTTCCTCCTCTTCCTCCTCCTCCTCCTCCTCTTTCTCCTTCTCTTCCTCCGTCTTCTCTTCCTCCTCCTGTGACTCCGCCTCCTCCGTCACCTCCTCCCCCCCCTCCTTTTTCCGCTCCTGTCCCCTTTGAAAACCACCCCCAGAAGTGTGCTGGAGCGCGTTCTGACCAAGATTTCGCGTCGGATCCAGCCGTGGCGACGACGGCCTCCGAGGAGGCCCAGTCAGATAGCAAATACCAGAATCCCTCCCTCGTCCTCCCGCTCCTCCTCCTCCTCCTCCTCGTCCTGGCACCCATCCTCCTCCTCCTCCTCCTCGTCCTCGTCCTCGTCCTCGTGCTCCTCCTAGTGAGGGATGCGGTGCAGGAGGGAGGGGGGAGTGGACGGGGAGGAGGGGAAACGCGAGAAGGGGGAGGTGGATGGGGGGAGGGGGGGAGTTACCCCAGGAGGAGAGGGAGAACGAGGAAGGGGACGACACAAGAGGACAGCAGCAGCGGAGGGGGAGGCGAGGAGGAGGGGGAGGCAGCAGGCACGACAAGGAGGGGAAGAGCAGGAGGAGGGAAGTCGGTTCATGGCGCCACTTTCAAGTAGGTTCGCGTCGTGCCGACTGGCGGCGACCCCGCCGCCGGCGTTCAACATTGAACGCCAGCGGCGGCCCGGAATCGGTCGATGTTGAACGATCGAACGTTTGGGAAACGGCCGATCGTCCAAGATTGAACGATCCAGCGCGGTGCCAGGAACCAGCGCCAAGGTCGACACAACACGAACCTGCCGTGCACACCAGCCCTGCAGAGCAGGGCTGGTTTGGTTTCGGGGACCAGGAGCCAGGAACCGAGGGCATTAGGGACCCGAATGCGCTCACGCTGCATCAGCGATGCTGCAGTCCACCCTCCCGTGCCAAATTCCTGCCTCGTAGGTCCCTACAGGAGTTCTTTTCCACTGCGGGGAGCGTCCTGCTTGAATGGTGAGTGCCCAGTGGACCTGCCACTCAGGCGAGACCCCGTTTGATAACGGATCCACTCTCCATCCTTCTAGCCACGAGAAGCGCGAATAGTTATGATGGTTCTGTTCAAAGAGGTGTCCAACGAGGTCCTTGTTTTGAGAAGGATTTGCAATCCATCCGCTCATGTCTTGCACAAATTCAAAAGAGTATCCGTATGCAATTTGCGGACATAGCGAGAGAAAGCCCAATCAAAAAAGAAGCTGATCTCCATCAATGTACTTGATGCACATGTGGGAAGTTCGGGCCATGGAACTCGAGAAGGTCTCCAGCGAGAGCCGCATTTTGGACATCACGGGCTCTCCATCGGCTGATGAGGAGGAGCGCCAGTACCGATCGAGGAGGGGGATGACGATGATTATGTTGTGCTGCTGCTGGTGATGTTGATGATGGTGACTATGGTGGTGGGGATGAGGAAGGACGTTTTCCTTTTTCCTCCTCCTCCTCCTCCTCCTCCTCCTCCTCCTCCTCCTCCTCCTCCTCCTCCTCCTCCTCCCGATCCACACCGCGCTCTCCGGGCGTCCTGTTCCCCGCCACGGCCGGCACGGAGCCCCGGTCCACCAGCACGCCGTGGCGGCGGCTGCGCGCCACCACGCTCTCCTCGGCTGCACGCACAGCGTGGCCCATCTCGGCAGGAGCGGCCTCCGGTGCGCGGCTCTCGGGTGCCGCGGGGTGGCGCGGGGTCCAGGCGCGCAGGCCAGTGCCGGGGGGATCCCTCCTCCCTCCTCCTCCTCCTCCCTCCTCCCCCTCCTCCTCCTCCTCCTCCTCCTCCTCCTCCTCCTCCTTCCCCTCCTCCTCCTCCTCCTCCTCCCTTCTCCTGCAAAGGCGGGGTTGGAGGGGAAATCGCTCAGGACGGCCCCTGGAAGGAGGAAATTCGTTATGCAGGAGCACCTGGCCGGGCCCGTTCCCCAGCCCCACCTCGGGATGACCCTCCCTCTACGAACCTCCGGCTGTGAGCACGCACCAAAGGTCACTCCGGCGAAAGGTCACTCTGAAGCGCAGCCGCCCTCCCGCAGCGAGCCGCGGCAGTGGTCGGTGAAGTGCACGCCGCTCGCCTCGGCCGAGGCCGCGCGGCACCCCCGCCGTGGCCCCCCAGCCCCAGACCTTCGACGTCATGACTTTTTCACGACGTCGACCCCCAGAAGCCTCGACCCCCCTTCCCCTGGGCTGGCCTGCTCTTGGCGTGCCTCTCGGCGCGCCCCCCGCGGCGTGCCCCCTCGGCGTGCCCTCTCGGCGTGCCCCCCCCCCGCGCTTCCTCGGTGAGGGCCGCCGAGTGCCCCTGGCGGGGACCCCCTGGCGCGCCTCCGCGTGCCCTCCCCTGAGATCTCGGCGCTGCCTCTCTTTTTTTTCTCGCACCTCGGGCAGGGGATGATCGACTACAGACTTGATCGACCCCAAACTTGAACTGTCCGTCGACCCTACGAAAAGAACGTAGAATGTTCGTAGGTGTGCTATGCCTCTACGTTTTTTTTTTTTTTTTTTTTTTTTTTTTTTTTTTTTTTTTTTTTTTTTTTTTTTTTTTTTTTTTTTTTTTTCTCTCTCTCTATATATATGTATATATATATATATATATATATGTGTGTGTATGATGTAAAAAAAGTTCGGCGGGAAATCTAGTTTGGGGTAATTCAAGTTTGTAGTCGATTCTCTGTTCGCGCCGGGCGTCTTCGCCCAGCTTCGGGCCCCGTCGGGCGGGTGGTTCAACGATGGGGTCCCGAGGGGCGGGGCCATTAAGAATAGGAAGGAGGGATCCAAAGGTGGATTTCAGTTGCTTGAGGCACCTCGCCCTCAGGACCGCGCGCCCTCCCTTGAGATCCACGCGCTGCACTTTTTCGCACAGCGGGCGCTCTCACCCGGCTTCGGGCCCGGGGGTTCGGGGCGCCAGAGACGGGGGCACAACAAACGGGAGCACGGGGAACGCCGATTTCCACGCTTGGCTGTGCTCCCGTTCTGGGGGCCCTGGGCGCTGTAGACGGTAGACGGGGGCATTGTAAAGGGGGGCATATGGAAAGGCCGAAGCCCGCGTTTAGCCAAGCCCTCGTTTACGAAGCCCCGGTGGTAATGGGGGGTGTGACGACCATCCGCCCGACTCGTGGTGGCCATCACAGATCGATCATGGCTCGAAATTTGCCGCAGAGAGATGGGGTTTGGGACTCCATTCCCGTGATTTCCCATGACGCCGCACGTTTTCCGCAACGTCGGACCTCGGGTCGGGGTGCCCCCGGCGCGCCCGTGGAGCGGCGCGGAGGGCGGCGGAAGCGGCGGCGGCGGGCGTGAGCGAGACAGTCGGAGGTTGCCAGAGGAGGCAGGCCTGGCCCCAAAATGTCCCCCGCAGACCTCCGAGGGACTGGTTCCTTCGGTCCAAGGGCCTTTCCTCGCCGCCTGCGGGCTCGGGGACACCGCAAAAAGAATCTTGGATGAAAAACTGCCCCCGGGGAAGCGGGCGGGCAGGAGGAGCAGGAGGAGGAGGAGGAGGAGGCGGAGGAGGAGGAGGAGGAGGAGGAGGAGGAGGAGGAGGAGGAGGAGGAGGATAAGGAGGATAAGGAGGAGGAGGGGGGGGGGGGGGGAGGAGGAGGGGGAGGAGAAGAAGGAGGAGGAGATGATGATGATGATGATGATGATGATGATGATGATGATGATGATGATGATGATGATGATGATGATGATGATGATGATGATGATGATGATGATGATGATGATGATGATGATGATGATGATGATGATGATGATACTGATGCTGATGCTGATGCTGATGCTGATGCTGATGCTGATGCTGATGATGATGATGATGATGATGATGATGATGATGATGATGCTGCATGATGATGATGCATGATGATGGTAATGCTGCTGCTGCTGATGATGATGATGATGATGATCGGAGGAGGAGGATGAGGAGGAGGAGGAAGAGAGGCCGAGGACTGAACAAAACTCATGTCGTCGGATGTCTGGTCCCCGAACTTTTCGCGCATTCTGGACCCCTGGGGGCCCTCGGGGCTCTGTGAGGAGTGCGGGGCCACCTCTCGGGCCAGGGGCCGCGCCTGGGCAACCCGCCGAGACCTCCCCCCAAAAAGCCGAATAGGGGATCGACTACAACATTGAATCACACCAGCCCTGTGGGAGTAGGTGGTTGAGGGCGACCCCTCTTCCACCCCCCTTCTTCCCCTTCGGAGAAGGGTTTACCCCTCCCTTCCTACCCCCTCCCCTGGACCTGGACCTGGGGTTCCACGAGCGGTCAGGGCGTCCAAAACGGCCTCGGCGAGGATACCACAATCATTGGCTTTACTACGGTTTTGACCCCATTTTGGCCTCTGGGGGGGCAAGGCTACAGTCCGACTGTAACTGCCACCCCCTCATCTTTGATCGATGTCCTCCAAGATGGCCCCAAGAAGTGCCCAGGAGGCCCCAAGAGGCCCCAAGATGGCCCCAAGATGGCTCCAAGAGGCCCCCAAGAGACCCCCAGGAGGCCCCCAAGAGGACCCCAAGCGGCCCCAAGAGGCCCCCCGAGGCACCCAAGACGCCCAAGAGCCCCCCAGGACCGCCAAGAGACCCCCAAGACGTCCCAAGAGGCCACCAAGAAGCGCCCACGAGATACCCCAAGAGGCTCCGAGAGGCATCCAAGAGACCACTGGCCCTTTTGCTTACCCTCCTCCTTCTCCTGCTGCTCCTCCTCCTCCTCCTCCTCATCCTATTCATCCTCCTTCCCCACACACCCTTTTCCATCTATCCATCCAGCCTCCTCCTTCTCCTCCTCCCTCCTTCGCACGGTTCGGTCGTCCCCCTCTTTGCTCCCGCACTTCCCTGATCACCTCAACTCGCCTGGACATCGTTTCTGGATGGGGAGGAGAAGGCGGAGGAGGAGGAGGCGGAGGAGGAGGAGGAGGAACATGAGGAGGAGGAGGAGGAGGAGGAGGAGGAGGAGGAGGAGGAGGAGGAGGAGGAGGAGGAGGAGGAGGAGGCGGAGGGAGGAGGAGGGGAGGGGGGGGAGGAGGGGGAGGAGGATGAGGAGGAGGAAGAGGAGGAGGAGGATGAGGAGGAGGATGAGGAGGAGGAAGAAGAGGAGGATGAGGAGGAGGAGAAGGAGGAGGATTGGGAGGAGAAGGAGGAGGAGGAGGAGGAGGGGGAGGAGAAGCAGGAGGAGGAGGGGGAGGAGGGGGAGGAAGAGAAGGAGGAGCAGGAGGAGGGGAGACCAGTCTGAGGAGCCCTCTGAAAAGCTTCCGGGCCCTTCAACGAATTACTCCGCCTTCTCTTTGAATGCCGCCCCCTTGCGCCACCCTCTAATTCTGCGCGCCGCCGATTGACCCCCGAATCCTCACAGCTTGAGCGACAGCTCCCCCCGAACACCCAGGAGCCCCTCGCTTGGAGCCACAAGCGATCCTCATCCCGCCTCTCGGCTCTCGGCGAGACAGCTGCGCGAAGCTGGTTCTCCGAACCGCTGGACGAGGCCAGCGTACAGCAGCTGTGCGTGTCTGTTCCGGCACATTGGTTGTGACGCATGATGTATTTGCTTCCACCGCGATCATCGCGTCCGACATCGCTTAAACGCTCGGCCGTCCCAATGACTCAGCGCTTCTCTTCGGACTGGCTAGGCGAAATCTCGAACATTGCAATGGGAGCGTACCGAGGCAACTTGGAATCTCGAGAGCTAGCTTGGCAAACGACTGAGGCACTCTGATGATCTCCAGGCCAAGTCGCCCCCTTCCACGGGCTGCCGCATAGTGCTATCTGCACGTGGCTGAGACAATGCGTCCTCTGAGGGGGGTGCGGAAGGGGAGACTGGCATCATGAGAGGAAGCATCGACCAGGAATCGACGATGCATCGCCGAGAAATCGGCTATAGGCCCCCGATGGGGAAGCCCCACATTCCTGGGCAAGCTTGCCCCGATTGGCGAGGACTTGCCGCTATGGGGTATATGAATCCCCCCCCCTGGGCCAATCCCCCCTGTCGCTGCCCCTGATCCCAGACATCCTCCGCCGGGTTTTTTTCACAACGTGGCTCCAAAGAAGTCCGGATCTCCCTTCCCGGGACCAATCTTTCATCCTGAACTGGCATTTTGACGGTCCTGGGGCCCGACGAGGGCCCCTGGAGGCGGAACGTGGACCACCGCCCTCCGTTGTTGCTTTTTGCAACATTCCATGTTCTGGATTTCCGCAGCCGCAAGTGCTCCAGAGTCCAGCGCAGAGCAGCGCGTGCTCAAATGGTACCAAATCCGACGCTATGGTTTATGCTGGAAGAGACTTTCATTCGCAGTGATGGTGGACCAGCATCTTGTCTTTCCTCTTCACAGTGAGAGGGGTGCCTACCGTACAATCTTGTTGGCTCTTGCGAATAAGCACGAATCGACGCAGATCGACGCTAATTCGACGAAACATCGACGCTTTCTCATCGATTGCCACATGCTACCGTGGATGTAGAACATTAGTTCGAAACCGAATTCGTAACATTGGAATTCTGGCATAAAGGAGTGGAGCACGGCCCAAACAACAACCGCAAATTGAAAAAATGCTGCCGCTGTTCGCATTTACATTTGCATTTCCAAGGGCAGCCGCCGATCCTGCCCGGCCGGGAACTCGTGGCCTCTGAATGACGAACTTCCAACGTTCTGCATAATTTTTGCGCTACTCGTTTCTATCCACGGTAGCACACCTTCATGCATTCTTAAGACGGCGTTGCGAGGACACACACGGCTCACATGATCTGCTACCGAATGTCAGAGACTGTCCCTCATCCTCCCTTTGCGCCCCGTCTCGCCCAAGAGCAACGGACGTGGCACCCGTGCAGCAGGGGGGCGGTGCCGCAACCGCTCACCTGGCCCGGCCGGGCTCCGCGCTCCAGCCCGCCTACCTGCCCCTCGCTCTGTGCTGCCTGCATCGGTGAGAAAACCACTGATCGTGTTGGGAGGAAAGGGTTGGGAAGATGTAAGGCCCGACCTGGTGGATCGGTAATGAGATCGATAATGAAATCGATAGCGAGATCGATCTCACTCCATCGATCGATCTAGCCCGTAACCAAGAACCCGGGAACCCCGCGATCGGGAACGCGGAACTGGGAACCCGGGAACCAAGAACCCGGAACCGGGAACCTGGGAACTCTGAACCGGGAACCCGGCGGCCCACCGAAATCGGCCGCCCACTGTCGCCAAATCCTTTAAGATCCGCTCGGACACCTTCAGTGCAAGCACAGACGGGGGAACATCAACGGCCCGCTCGCTACTGGAATTCGCTACCGGAGGCTAAATTCTGGTCGCGACCAATTCGTCCAGAGCGTATTCCCTAATCAGTGCTTGCTCTGCAGGGGTCCTAGCGGATGTTGACAAATTGACAAATTTTGCGAAAATTCCCAACCGATTTCGGTGGGCGGCCGGGTTCCAGGGATCCCAATTCCAGATTCCCGGGTTCCCCGTTGCTAGTTCCAGGTCGATATTGGTGGGCAGCGGGGTTCCCGAGTTTCTGGGTTCCCAGGTTCATGGTCGATCTCCTTATCGATCGGCTTCACCATCGATCTCATTACCCACCTCTCTATCGATCTCACTATCGATTTCTCGATCGATCTAACAATCGATCTCACAATCGATCTCGGTATAGATCGTACGAGCGATTTTACGATCCATCGCGCTGTCTATCTCACTGAATCGACTTCACTATCAGTCTCACGACCGACCTTACTATCGTCATCACTATCGATCTCACTATCGATATCACAATCGATCTCAATATACATTTCATTCATTTTCAAACCATCCGCTGATTTTATTTATTTATTTTTTTCTGGTGTTGTTTTTGATAACGGGTGATCTGGGCTTGGTGAAGCCAGAGAGATCGCAAGAATGGGCCTGGGGCACACGATCGGATTTTCAAGACCCCTTCGGAACGTTCGGAGATCGACGAAACACCCTTTAGCAAAGCACCCTTTAGTGAAAGCTGCCAGGGGCACTCTACGCGCGCACGGCACCGCACTCCGAGTTGGCCCCAGCGGGATAGCTGGTGGGCCTCTTGGTGGGCGGGGTTGGCATGTGTGAATAGCTTCGGTGTCCTCCCCTCCTCCCTCCAAATTTCTCTTCGATCTGACCATGGCCTTTAGGCTTGCGTCAACCTGGGCGGCGGGATGAGGTTGTCATGCCAATAGCGTTCTCGAGCACAACATCAGTCTGCACCGCGCCCAACCTGATGAGGCAGCGCGATGCGATTCATAATGATCACACCTATCCGCAGGACGCTTGCGCCTGGTGGTCAGACCGCCTGGAATGCGGCCTCGTCGGATGTTCATCCAATCACAACTGCATCAGCAGTGAGTTGTTTGTTTGCATGGCTCGCGTGCGCGAGACATGACTTCGCCTGGCCTACGAGCATCCCGAATGACAATGTCGAGTGGACCAGCGCAGACATCCTCAAACGACTTGTCTGTGTGGGCGTTCTCGATGCCCCAGATATGGTGAAGCCGGCGAGATCGCAAGGATGGGCTCGGGGCGCAGGATCGGATTTCTAAGACCCCCTCGGAACGTGCCGCTCTCAGGGGCTGGGCGCGTACCTGGTAAAGGGGATGTCTGGGATAGCGGCGTGGAGATCTGACTTGTGCACAAGGCGGTCTTGCGGCAGGCTGTCGAAACCCAAAAATGTGGCCCGCTCCGGAACCTCGGGGTACAACAATGTTGGCGCCTCACTTTTACTTCTGCCGCCTTCCGCCGACTTTCCGCCGGTGGACCCGCCGCCGTTTGCCTTCCGCTGGCTTCCGCACAAAGGGCTGATGCGCCGAAGGCGCGTCCTTTTCTGGAACGCCATTTTGGTTCCACGTGTATTCCTGGAGCGCCCTGAACGGCTGGCCCAGGACATCCCGACCACATGCAATTGGAATTCCATTGTATGGGGGCCAGGCAACAAGTCCTTGGCCTGGAGAGTACGACTGAGTTCTTGCAGCGCTCGCAGAAATCCCTCGGAGAACCCCCTAGAAGTTCCTTGGACGCCCCCTCCCCTGCTGGCACCCCGTGCTGGATTACAGCAGTCGTGGCTTGCTGAAATCAGCGTTGGGGCTGCTAAAAGGATAAAGGCGGTTAGAAGCAGATGTTCAGGTGGGACATGTCTGGCCTAACCTCGCTCATGAGTGGCTCACAGGTGCCCTAAATCGTTCAGCGGGGGGGCGGATCAGGTCAAAGAGGCCGGAGCCTGCTGAGCGGAGTTACCCACTCACCCTACACTACTCCGGGCACCTGCAACCACCGATGCTCTGAGGCCAGATCTCACCCACCCCATCAGGCACTCCTGTCCTGGCCCCCCCCCTGTCGCCCTGGCCCGACCCGCGGCGATCTCAGCAGGGGCCAGGGCGAGCAGCGAGGATCGGGCGGCCCTCTGCACGACACGCCCCCCGGCGGGCCCGCGGACACCCCGTGCCTCCCCAAGCTCAGCTTTCTGGCCCGCCACGACGCGTGAAGTAAAGAGCAGAAACAAACAACACCCTCAGAATAAGCACCCCATACAAGCGGAGCCTTCTAGTAAACGCGCCTAAGGAAGGCATCGAGAAGGGCAGGGCTGTGTAGTCAACGCCCAGGGCCGTTCAGTAAACGAAAACTGTAGGTCTCTTGATGACGCGGCCGGCGTGTCTCAAGCCAACTGATCACTGATTCTTGCGAAGCAAAATCGGTCAGGAACTCTTGCTCAGCGTGCCGCCGCGGAGGCCCCGGCGGCACGCTGTGCCTTGCAGACGGGAGCCGCATCGCTCCGCTCCGCGGGGCAGGAGGCTGGGCAAAGCTCGGGACGTTGACGCTCGGACATGAGGGAGAGGATTGCGTGTCGCGCCGAAGCGTGGTGGGCCAGAACCAGCGGCGTGACACGCTAAGCTCAAGTTCCTGGCCGTAGTTACCCCACGCGAATCCAATGCTCACTGCTCGTCGCTTCCGAGACCAAGCGAGTAGATCTGAGCCCCCCTGCTCAGATGTGGACATTGGATTTGAAGGGGCCTTCTGTGAACTGCCCGCTCCCAGTCGACTTCCATAGGTCCAAATTCAGCTTCTTGCCAGGCTCACGACAGCTCAAAACCTGCCCAATACGGGTCCAATCACTTTTGTGGTCACCTCATGCCTCTCCCCAGACGGCCAGAACCCCCACGGACTGCCAAGGGACCCCCCCCCTGAGGGTACTAGGTCTTTTCAGCCCACCCGACGATCTTGGATGCAAGGCTCTACGAAGCCTCCAAGACGTCTCCAAAGAACCTTCCGTTGGGCCCACGGAATGCCAGAACACTGCAGAAATAATTGTGTCTTCCATGATGAAGAAAAACCGCGTAGCGGGCGCCAGGCGGTCCAGAGAATCGACGTCGCCTGCGGCTCATTCTGGCCGCGCGCTTCGAATTTGTTTGCGCACCTATGTACTTCAAATGCGTTCTGCCGGATTTGGGGACTCCCCTTGGCATCCCTGTGTTCTCCCAGGGCGTGCTTTTTGTTACCGCGCATCTCCGCGTCTCGTGTAGAGCAGAAGGCACGCGCAGATCTAGAAGGCTCCAGAATGTAGGGGAGGCTGGGAACGGTCCAGAGAACAGGCAAAAACTCTGTGATGGCAACCGCGCACGAAACTCACTCTCCTAAACCATGCCGCGTCGCCATCTGCAGCTCCTCTGGGGCAGGCTGGCCACCGGCTCGGCCCGCTCACTTCGAGCGCTGCCGCATCTTGCGGCGCTTCTTCTGCAGCCGGCGCGTCCTCTTCTTCTTCCACTTCCACCGGAACATCGAGCGCGCCTTTTTGTACGGGTTGGACTTGTGCGCCATCGCGGCAGGCCGCCGGCAAGGTCGCAAAAGAGGGCGCCGCGCGTCTGCTCCGGGCCCGCGCGGGCCGCTTCTCGGCCGAGATGGCCTGCGCCCCAAGAGGCTCGAGCCAGAAAGGCGACGGAGCTTCACGAGGGCATCCTGGGCGTCCGAGCTGCCGTCGGGGAAGCCTTGGGTACCATCTTGGTGGGTGGCTCGCGGGCACTTGGTGACATCGTGGGCCATTCGCAGGGCTACCTGGGCCCCTCTGCGTGGGGCTTGGGGGCCCTTCTTGCGCCACCCCAGGCCCTCTTCAGGCTGGGGGCAATCTTTGGGGTCATCATGTCACAGCCCCTGCTGCACGCCAGACGGCGAGAAGAGCAGACATGGGAACAGCACCGAAGAACAACCGAAACTGATTGCATGATCTTGGCCTCCTGGGCAAAACTGGGACGTCGGGCCCCCGCTTCACAGACACATATATACATACACACTCACACACGTCGCCTCCCTTTCGGATTAGATCTTCCTCGGATACGGCTTGGCGCCCAGCACCTTTAAGGAGGGACGCGATTGTACCTTCCAGGACGGAAAGCAGCTTGAAGCCAACCCAAAGACCAATGCCCCCAAGATGGTCTTATGAACTCCCAATACGGCCCCATGGCCCCCAACCCAATAAAAGTGTCAAACCGCCCCCTCCTCCCCCCCCCCCCCCCTGCTGAAGCTCCCAACAAGCTCACAAAACGACGCCCACACAAAGTCAGCAGGACGGCCTCACCATACCCCTCAGAGGCAACGCCGCAGCAATGCACTGCCACATGTGTACCACGCTGCATAATTACTGCGCGACTTCTTCGAGCGTAAGGCGAATCTGCGTGGCAACGCAGCTTTGGATACTCATTGCGTTCTGAATTTGATCGGGAGCGTCCGAAGGCAGACTCTGCCCATGCAGATCCTCCCGCGTTCGCCTTTTTCGCTTTCATCGTATTCCTCTGCGTCTTGAAATTTCCGATCTCATACCTGAAGAAAACCAGTGTCCTTCCCCAAACGCATGCCTCCCCCCACGCCCTCGAACCTGACATCCGCCACCAGATGCTGCTCCCAATTCAACTACTGTGAGCTTGCTTCAGGGCCGCCAGGCTGCGGCTGCTGCTGCTGCTGCTCCTCCTCCTCCTCCTTCTCCTGCTTCTCATACTCCTCCTCCAACTCCTCTCCTCCTCCTCCTCCTCCCCTCCTCCTGCCTGCACCTCCTCCTTCTCCTCCTCCTCCTCCTCCTCCCTGCTCCTCCTTCCCCCTCCCCGCTCCACATCCTGCTGCTGCTGCTGCTGCTGCTTCCCCTCGCGCCCTCCGGCGCATCCCCCCCTCTGCCCGAGGGGCTGCCAGCCTGCACGCCGCCCTCCACGTCGCAGTGCCGCAGGGCTGGCTGGCCCAAGACGATGTAGACCTCCCCAGGGAGGAGGAGGAGGGAGGAGGAGGGAGGAGGAGGAGGAGGAGGAGGAGGAGGAGGAGGAGGAGGAGAAGGAGGAGGAGGAGCGGAGGAGGAGGAGGAGGAGGAGGAGGAGGAGAAGGGAGGAGGAGGGAGGAGGAGGGAGGGAGGGAGGAGAAGAGAGGAGGGAGGAAGGAGGAGGGAGGAGGGGTGAGGAGGGCGAGGCGGCAGAAGGAGGGAGGGAGACGGAGGAGGAGGAGGGAGGAGGCAGGGAGGAGGATGGAAACTGATGGAGCTTCTTGACCACTCCCGAGGCCCGAAACAGACCTCCTTACGCTGGCCACCCGGCGTGGTGGGCCGGTGGCCAGCAGGCTTGGGTTTCTGCACCTCCCTCTGTCTCTGGCTCTCCCGAATTGTTCAACTGTTTGGTTTGTTAGTGTGTGTTTTGCCTCTTCTCTCTGTTCTTCGTCCTCCTCCCGCCTCTCGCTCTACTCCCCCCCTGCCCCACCTTCTTCCCCGTTGGGCACCCGCTTTCTATTTTTTTCTGTCTGTTTGTCTGTCTGTCTGTCTGTCTGTGTGTCTGTCTGTCTGTCTGTTTGTCTCTTCTCTCTCTCCCTCTCTCTCTCTCTCTTTCTCCACCTCATTCTATCTATATGCATACACATGCATGTTTTTGTCTCTCCTGTAGATACATATATATGTGCATCCCCGCGTTTCTCTGTGTTCATTTCTCCACCACAGTACGTTTCAACATGCGCCTTTCTCAATATCTACCTCTCTCTCTGTTCTTCCTTTCCTCGAACCTGTCAATCCCTCTTTTTGTCCCGCCTCTCTCTCTCTCTCTTTCTCTCTCTCCTCTTTACATATGACCCTCCCCGCCTCTCCACGTCCTCACCGCTGCCCATCTCCTCCCACACATGTCTCTCCATTCCTCCTCATTCAACTGCCATTCCCATTCATGATTTCGCGAATTATGCCCACCTTGACGGCCTTCCCGCACATCCCGCCATATTTTCAGTAGACAAGGTCTGTTTGGGTTAGAAACCCGTCCCTTACTAGCGAGCGGTGGACTTGACATGTTACCAAGGCAACACGCGGCAACATAACGTCTCGATATGCTTCCAAACAACGGCCAAGTACGATCCAACCTAGCAGCAACAGCCAAATCTTGGCTTGAAACAACTCGCCGCACATGAGTCTGAACACGCGCAATCCCTTTCTTCGTAAAGATCCGGCTGGCGAGCATATCTGTCCGTGCAGAAACGCATGCTTTAAATCACTCAAGCCGATTCTGTCTTCGCGGGCGACACGCGCGTCGTACAATTTGAGCACAGATAGTGTAGCCACCATCTTGCGGAAATGGTACGCTGCCAACATTGTGACGTAAACAATGAAAGCCCTGAAGCAACCAGATGAAAACTTTTTCCATTGAAAAGCATCCAAGACATTTCGCAATCCTCTGATCCAGAAGCGCCCACGAACAACCGCACCGGGACCTGCTTTGCCAAAGTGTATCAGCTGGGCTACCCAGTAGCCGACGTCAAGGTGTAACATGCGGACTCTACGGTCTTTCGGGACCTCCATGCTTTTCAGCACATGTAGAACATCGTCTTCGTCAACCTCGAAAGGCCAACATATCCAGGAAGGAAGAAGAGGTATAAACCACAAGCGTCTTTTGAATTGCCTGCGATGCTCAGCAAAATTCAGGTTCAACTCCTCTGCAACATCAGAAACCATCCTGAAATGGGGGTCGAGGCGTTGCCATATCAAAACCAATTGCTCCCTCTCAAAATCATCAATGAAGCCGTCTCGGCCATACCGGAGCATCACTTCTACCAACTTCTTCTTAGGATCGACCGCGCGAGTGTAATTCATATGAAACGCTCGCGCCCTTCTTGACCTCGCCATGCGAGAGACAAAACCCCTCGCGTGGAAACATTCTCGACGAAAGCTCACAGGTCGAGTAATGACAATGAGCAGTGATGTGATCATCAACATCTGGGTCCGCCCAAATCTCAACTCAGTGTAGTTTCGTCTCATGCCGCTTCTCAAGTAAAACGAGCATGCGGAACATTTCAGACTCAGACTTCCTGAAACTCGGCCTAATGAGGCTTCAGCCATTATGGCCTCTTGAGCCACAATGACCGCAATTCGCCCACAGCGCGTAATGGATCGTCATCGCTACGCACCACTACACCCGCAGGGACTTACAACAAGCGATACAAACTGCGCTATGAAATCAACGGATGACTCGAAGAGACTTCATTGGACGACATCTACTGATCTAGGAGACGCCTGCTGGTGGTTTGATTTCTCTTTCATGGGAAGGCAAGTCTAATTCGACAATGATGGATAAAGGTTGGCGCCTTCCCTGAACATGAATTCGACCCGCGGCAACTTCCTCAAATCGAGCTTTCATGCCTTGGCTGGGGGACGAAACTTCTGGACTCCATGGCTCGATTGAACCTGGACGTAGTTCCACCCCCGGAACTCTCGCGCCAAACCGTGGGACTCTCTAGCGCGCAAGAGATCAATGGACACGGGCTTCCAGAGCCTAAGCCTCCCCCCTATGCGTAAGGTGCTAGCCAATCCCAGGCACATTCGGACGTTTCGTCCTCCAGCGAAGCTGCCCTGAACTTCTCGGCGCTGTTGCGAGCAGCCCTGTCAAAGACAAATTGAGAAATCTCGGGCGCCGAATCTTAAAGCAGGCACGATCAGATCAGCTTATCTCGTCCGTCCACACATGCCTGACCAGTGTCTCCATTCTTGCAACGTGCAAGCCTGCTCTTCGTTCTAGGCGTTCTGATGCTTCTCTCTCCCGTCCCCTCCCTGCCTCTCAATCCTTGACTGGTTCGGCGCTGTTCGCCTCTCACCACTTGCAGTACATGCCCTTGAGCAATTCGCCACCGTGCCTTCGGGCACGGAGTGGGCGTGTCCTCAAGTCCCTTGTTGTAGTCCTCATCTCGAGGGCCAACTTTTTTGCGGCTCAGGCTGGCTTGTCGCATGACTTTTTCGGGCCCGAGAGGGCCCCCAGACGGGCCAAGAAGGCCCCAAGAGGCCCCCAAGACGGTTCGAGAGGGTCCCGAGTCGCCGAACGATCGGTCCACGACGCCTAAGCTGGCCTCCGGACGGCCCAAGAGGCCTCCAAGATGCCCCAAGAGGCCTCCAAGACGCCTCCCAAGAGGAAAACATTATTGATGCTCGTTAGGCTTTGAGGGATTTTGGCGTTCTCGCCTTTTCGGCTTCCCGACGCTCCAAGACGGCCCAAGAGGCGCCCAAGATCGCCCCAAGACGACCCAAGAGGCCTCCAATAGGGCCCCAACGCGGCCCAAGAGGGCACCACGACGGCTTAAGAGGCCTCCAAGACGGCCCAATAAGCCCCCAAGACGGCTCCAAGAGAGGGCCCAAACGGACCCGAGAGGCCCCCAGGAGGCCCCAAGAGGCCTCCCAACGGCCCACAGAGGATCCCAGGAGGCCCCCAGGAAGCCCCACAAGGCCCCCAAGAGGCTCCCAAGAGGCTCCCACGAGGCGCCACCACTGGCCCCAAGAAGTCCCCGAGAGCGCTCCGAAGAGACCCCAAGAAGCATCCCTGAGGACTCGGACCTACAATCCAGGCACGGTGGCGGGATGGGCCGAATGCATTCGACCTGCTTGGCGCAGGGATGGAAAATGCTCGCACCCTGTGAGGGCGCGAGAACGCTTGCTCAGTGTCTTGGAGCCCCCTTGGCGTTAAGACTCTGGTACGTCATACAACAAAAACAACCAACCTTGCGAACATCAATGAATGTGGCCTCGCCGGGCCTTTTTGGGGGTCCTGTTGGGGCTCCTTTGGGTCGTCCTGAGGCCCTCTTGGGCCGTCTTGGGGGGTTTGGGCTGTCTTGGGGCCCTACTGAGGTCCTCTTGGGGCCCTGGGAACCTTTTGGGGCCCTAAGGGCCTCTCTTGGGCCGTCTTGGGCCCATCTTGGGCCGTCTTGGAGCCCTCGTGGGCCCTCTTGGGCAGTCGTGGGGTCCTCTCGAGGCCTCTTGTGCCGTCTTGGGGGGATCCTGGGGGCCTCCCGGGCCGTCGTAACCCTGTGAAGACCAAGGAAGCAGACATGCTAAACATGTCAGCTTTCCCCACAGAATTGGACGTTTTTGTTGCCTCTGGGGCGTCCTCTTTGGCCGTCTTGAGGCCATCCTGGGCTCTCTTTGAACGCTCTCGGGCCGTCTTGGGGCTCTCTTGGGCCTCCTTGAGGCCGTCGTGGCGGTAGTTCTTGCGCTCTTGGGGCCCCCTTGTGCCGAGCATTGCCGAAACTCTGGCATTGGGGCCGTCTTGGGGCTGTCTTGTGGGCCTCTTGTGCCACTGTGGACCCTGTGAAAATCAAGGAAGCTGATATGCTAGAACTGCACTTACGTACGTTTTCCCAAGGGAATGGGACGAATTCTTGCCTCTGGGACGTCCTTTTGGAGGCCTCGTGGAGTGTCTTGAAGGCCTCTTGCGCCGTCTTGAGACCACCTGGGCCCTGTTCGAGCGCTCTCGGGCCGTCTTGGGGCCCTCCTGGGCCTCCCTGAGGCCATCGTGGCTGACATTTTGGCCTTAGGGCCGTCTCTGGGCCGTCTTGGGGGCCTCTGCCGTCTTGGAGCGATCCTGGGGGCCTCTTGTGCCGTTGTGGACCCTATGAATATTAAGAAGCAGATCTGCTATACATGCACGTTTTCCCAAGGACGTGGGCCGACTTTTTGCCTCTGGGGCATCCTTTTGGAGGCCTTGTGGTGCGTCTTGAGGGCCTCTTTGGCCCTGGCCGTCTTGAAGCCATCCTGGGATCTCTTTGAGCGCTCTCGGGCTGTCTTGGAGCCCTCTTGGGGCTCCCTGAGGCTGCCGTGGCGATAGCTTGGGCGCTCTTGGGGCCGTGTTGGTGCCCTCTGAGGCGCTCTTGGGGCTGACTTGGGCCGTCTAGGGCCGAACATGGCCGAACATTTGGCCGTTAGATTAGATCTGGGTCCGCAGTGGCGAACCCCCTCACACTCCCCCTTGCCATCTCCCCACTGAGGGATCGCGACGCTACGCGCGCTTTCCTTCATCCGCCGCCCCTGCTGATTTATCACCAGGGTGCCTGGCGTGCTGAAATTTTGAATGGCTTTGGCTCTTTTTAAGACTCCCCCCGGAGCTTCGGCACAACGCGCGGCCATCCGGAAGGCCGCATAATCAGTCGAAAAAACCCAACTACGTTGGCCCAATCGCCTCCACGACGACCAAGATGGCCTCTAAGACGGCCAAGATGGCCCCAAGATAATCCAATATGGCACAAGATGGCCCAAGATGCACTCAAGACGGCCCAAGATGGCCCAAGACGGCTCAAGAGGCCGCCGAGATTGCCCCAAGATCGCCCCGGATGCCTTCAAGATGGCCCCAGGACGGTCCACGAGACCCCCAAGATGGCCCCAAGAGGCCTCCAAGTCGCCCAAAACGGCCTTCAAGAGGACCCTGAGCCGCCTCAAGAAGACCCCAAGACGGCCCAGAGAGGTTCCCAAGACATCTTCCGACGGCGTCAGACGGGCCAGGAACGTCGTAAGACGACCAAAGAAGCCCCGAAAGGCCCCCAAGAGGCCCAAGAAAGCCTCCCACGAGGCCTCCAAGAGGCCCCCAGGAAGCTCCGAGGAGGCCACAAGAATGACTGAAGAGGCTCCCGAGAGGTCTCCTCATCCATCTTCTCATTCTCCTTTCTCCTCCCTCTCCTCACCCTGATGTGTTCCCCGAAGGGCTTCCACAACGGCTGGGGGAACGCAGAGTCCAATAGAGTGGCCAAACTCTGCCCATACGTTTGGCCACATAGGTGCATCCCCAAAGGCTAGGGGCGGCAGTGATTCGCCGCAGGCGCCTTTGATACCAGAAGATCACTTATGGCACGCCGTCTGCAGGTAATGCCTAGCTTATGCGACGGGCTTCCGCCGAAACCGTATTCTCAGGACAGGCAGCCCCAGTCAAAGCAACAGCAGACGAGTCGTCGCGAGAAATGGCAGAGCCGAAGGCACCTTGTGCAAATCTCTGGCTGCCTCGCCTGACCGGGAACTGTGAAGCCCGATTGAATCTCTCAATGCCGTGCGTACCAACACCAGGTCGATTGTCGACTGCTGATGCAAGAGCCTCGACCCGTCCAGCCATGCCAAAATTACCCGAACATGCCGCATAAGCCGACAACACCACCACCGCCACCGCCACCGCCACCACCAGCAGCAGCAGCAGCAGCAACAACACCCCCCAAACCTGCTCAAACGCAGCGGCCCCCCCCCCCTGAAAGGACGCAGCGTCCACGCATCAGGTCGTTGCGGCACCTGCCAGAGATCGCTCAAATATTCCCTATGTCAGACATGCACGATCGTCCAAATCCGGATACATGCGATGAGGTGAGCGTGTTGGAGGGCAGGTCACAATTCTCCGCCTCACTGGGATGTGAACGTTTTGTGTATAGACATTTGCACCTATACGACAGCCCTCCGGGTGATAAGGAGGCTGTATGGGGGGGAAACCAACTGATGACAACTGCGATGGGACACAATCGGGACAACCTGGGGACAAATAAACGCAACCATCGGGGCACCCTTGGAACACTATCGGGACACCACCCTTGACACCGTATTGTGGTCCGTCCGTCCGCTATTTCTCTATCGATCTCACAATCGGCCACACTATAGGTCTCGCTATCGATCTCACGATCGATCTCACTTTCGGTCTCACTATCGATATCACTATCTGTTTATCGATCTCACTATCGGTCTCACTATCGATCTCACTATCGGTCTCCACGGGCCACCACGGGACACCGCGCCACGGGACACCACGGGACACCGCATTGATCTCACTATCTATCGACCTCACCCTCGATCTCACTATCGATCTCACTCTCGTTCCGATCTCCCCTTCGATCTTACTCAATCGATCTCACAATCGATCTGACTATCGACCTCCACGGGCCACCACAAGACACCGCGGGACACCACGGTACACTGTGGGATGACACGGGACACCGGCGAGACACCCCCGCCACCGGCCACCGGCCAACCAGGGGAGGAGAGACATTTAGCTCGGTTTCGCCTTAGTCAGGGCGGGATCATTCCTCTCGCCCGCCCACGCAACTTCGCCTCGCCCGCACGCGCGACACGAAACTGAAACCGATTTCCCAGTGGGGAGCCCTCTGTTTCATCTCGATCTCGCTCCCCAACCTCCGATGTAAATATCTATATGTATACATATAAATACCTATACGACCACCCTGCGGGTGATACGGAGGTTGGGGGGGGAGGGGCCCAGCAATGGGCAACAATGGTGATTGTTGATCTGACGACGCACCGCCATCGTAACTCTTTTTTCCTTGCTCACCGATCTCACAATCGATCTCACATCGGGTCTCACTATCGATGTCACTATCGATCTCACAATCGATCTCACAATCGATATCACATTCGGTCTCACTATCGATCTCACTATCGATCTCATTCGATCGATCTCACAATCGATCTCACTATCGATCTCACAATAGATCTCTCATTCGGTCTCACTATCGATCTCACTATCGATCTCACAAACGATTTCACAATCGACGTCATAATCATCATCATCAACATCAACATCAACATCATCATCACCATCATCACCATCATCACCATTATCACCATCATCATCACCATCATTACCATCATCACCATCATCACCATCATCACCATCATCACCATCATCACCATCATCATCATCATCACCATCATCACCATCATCACCATCATCACCAGCATCACCATCATCACCATCATCATCGTCATCATCATCACCATCATCACCATCATCACCATCATCATCATCATAATCATCATCATCGTCGTCATCATCATCATCATCATCACCGTCATCATCGGGACACCGACGGGACACCGGCGGGACACCGGATCTCACTATCGATCTCATTCGATCGATCTCACACTCGATCTGACGATCGATCTCACAATCGATCTCATTCGATCGATCTCACAATCGATCTCTCATTCGGTCTCACTATTGATCTCACTATCGTCGATCTCACAATCGATCTCACAATCGACGTCATCATCATCAACATCAACATCATCATCACCATCATCATCATCATCATCATCAGCGTCATCATCATCATCACCACCATCACCACCACCACCATCATCACCATCATCACCATCATCACCATCATCACCATCATCATCACCATCATCATCACCATCATCACCATCATCACCATCATCACCATCATCACCAGCATCACCCTCATCACCATCATCGTCATCATCATCATCACCATCATCACCATCATCACCACCATCATCATCATCATCATCATCATCATCATCATCATCATCATCATCATCATAATCATCATCATCATCATCATCGTCGTCGTCGTCATCATCATCACCGTCATCATCGGGACACCGACGGGACACCGGCGGGACACCGGCGGGACACCGCGCGCCACCGGTTGCCGGAAGGGAATCATTTGGTCCGGCCGCGCCTCAGCCACAGCGGGACTCCGGCGGGACACCGCGCGCCACCGGTTGCCGGAAGGGAAGCATTTGGTCCAGCCGCGCCTCAGCCACAGGAGACTTTCCTCTCGCCCGCCCACGCAGCTTCGCCTCACCCGCACGCACAGCACGCACGAACACGAAACCGGAATCGATTTCCCTCTAGGTGGGCTCTCCGTTCCACTTCGATCTCACCCCCCAACCTCCGATATTCCTCTTCCTATATTTTTATAAGCCTGGGCGGGGGGAAAACCCGTCCCCCCCCCCAAAACCGGACTCCCGGGATCTGGGGCTTTGGGACCCTCCGGACGGGCCTCGAAGCGGCCACCGGGCCTCGCAGGGCGTTTTGCCAAGCCTTCCCAGCACACCTAGGGCGATCAGGGGGGTCATCGGAGACGTCCCAGAGACCTCCACGACAGTACAAGATCGCTCCAAGAGTGACCGACGTCACCTCAAGATGACCCAAGAGGCCTCCAGGACAGCCCCAAAGAGGCCTCCAAGAGCACTCCCAAGAAGGCCCCCCGAGGCAAAAATCATTGATTTTCTGTTGGTTTTTGGTGAATTTTGGGGTTCTCCTCCTTTCGGCTTCCCGACGCTCCCAGACGGCGGTCTTCTGGGGGTCCGAAGCTGCCTGGGAGGCTCCAAAATCGCCCCACTACCATCCGAAAGGGCTTCCAGGCAATCCAAGAGAGCCCCAAAACGGCACAACACGGGTCCAAGATGGCCCACAGAGAGCCCCATGGCGGCCCAAGATGGCCCAAAGACACCCTCCGAAGAATTCCAAATCGTCATTCGGTCGTTCAGGGAGACCGCGGTTGGAAGTAGGGTGGCCCGAGGAAGCCCCGGGAGGCCCCCAGAATACGCCCAGGAGGCCTCCAGAAGGCCTTAAGAAAACCTGGAACAACTTTTGTGAGGCCCCTAGAGGCTCTCCAAGGAGGAGCCTCCGCAAAAAAGGGCTGAGGAGGATGGGGAGAATGCGCAGGGTATGGCGAAAATAAGGAGAAATAATCATGCAGGAAGGATGAAGAATAACATTATTATAGCGGCGATGCCGGAAAAGGCAACCAAGAGTTATCGCTCACTTGTCGGCTTGACCTTCCTGCTATTCCGCCTGCATACCAAACTTCAAGGACCAAGGTGCATGGCGCGAAGCGCCACTGCAGTCTTGTATACACATATATATATATACACACTTATACAACCACCCTTGGGGTGATACGGAGTTTTTTTGGGGAAGGACCAACTGAGGACAACTGCGGTGATTGCGATGGTGGCGATGCTGGTGATGCGCTCACGAATTGGCGACGATGCAAGACAACGATGCTGACGACAATGCGTGATGGCAATGGGACGCCCACGGGACACCGACGGGACACCACGGGACACCGACGGGACACCGACGGGACACCGACGGGGCGCCGACAGGACACCGACGGGACACCGACGGGACACCACGGGACACCGACGGGACACCGACGGGACACCGCCGGGACACCACGGCGGGACACCC